GCACTGAATCGGTAGTGAGCCAAAATGGCAGTCCCACAGAGCATCTAAGCCAGTGATGGCGAACCTTTTGAGCTCGGCGTGTCAGCATTTTGAAAAACCCTAACTTAACTCTGGTGCCGTGTCACATATAGAAATTTTTTGATATTTGCAACCATAGTAAAACAAAGACTTATATTTTTGATATTTATTTTATATATTTAAATGCCATTTAACAAAGAAAAATCAACCAAAAAAATAGTTCGTGTGTCACCTCTGACATGCATGTCATAGGTTCACCATCACTGATCTAAGTGGACAGGGGCTCAGACTGGTGAGCGAAGGGCAGGGGTCCTCCCACCGAGTACAAGTGCTCAGTGTGCTCAACACTGTGTGTCAAGATTCACAGCTATAGAGACAGTCTCTGTTTTTTTTCTTTGCTTTATCCTCTGTGCCTGGGGCTGGGTATGTGCATTAAATATCTATTGAATGAGTGAAGGAAGTGCTTTGTATCTGAGAAATCTCATGCGTCTGGGAGAGGGGTTTTATTCCCTCCATTTCATACATGAGTGAGTAGGCTGGGGGAGGGGGGAAGTCTATTAGCCTGCCAGTTTCCTACAGCTAGTGAATGGCAAGGCTAGAATTCAGTCTGTCTTGATCCAAAACTCACATTGTTGATCCCTACAACATATTAGTTTGAGTGGTCAAAATAAGACCTACAGGAATTTGTTATGGTTTACATACATATGGTTTACATACATATGATTTACATGTACAAACAAATGTATTTAGTTGTAAAGAGCCTATTATATCATAGGCATTATTCTAAGTGCTATTTATATTGAATTCTCTCCACGTTCAATCCTCACAACCACCCTATAGAGTAGGTGCTCTTCTTATCCCCAGTGTACCGCTAAGGGCACTGGAGTGCAGTGTTGAGTCATGTGCCCAGGCCATCTGGTTCCGAGCCCACGCCCTTGATCACGGTGATTTGCTATTTCTTGGCTTGTCAGTGATTTGTGTGCGTGTTTATCAACAGTATGGTTTAGTCCAGCCGTGGGCAAACTACGGCCCGCGGGCCGGATCCGGCCTGTTTGAAATGAATAAAACTAAAAAAAAAAAAGACCGTACCCTTTTATGTAATGATGTTTACTTTGAATTTATATTAGTTCACACAAACACTCCATCCATGCTTTTGTTCTGGCCCTCCAGTCCAGTTTAAGAACCCATTGTGGCCCTCGAGTCAAAAAGTTTGCCCACCCCTGGTTTAGTCGCTTCTCATGAGCTCCTGTGGTTACAAAGCCCAGACCTCAGCTCTCCTCACACACTGCATGAAGCCTAGCTGGCCCAGCCAGGGTTCTCTGCACAGTTGGTCGCTGGAGATGTGAGACTCTGTGGGAGGCCTGTTACCCACAGTGGCAATTGGGAAAATGAGGAGAAAAAACAACAACACTGAAATTGCTAGAATCTGAACGGAAATGTTGAGAGTCTTAGGAGAGGTAAACAAAGCACGTTGGGAACACTGATGTCAAGAATGATGGAAAGGACAAGCTGGTCCTAGAACTCAGAAGGGTGTGAGGATAAGGCAGAGACCCCGGGGAAAGTTGCAGTGGAAAGAATGATCATTTCAAAGTGCTCCCTGGGCCTTTGTCTGATGCAGATGAACTTCGGCAAAGAGTGGGTGACACAGGTACTGGAGGTTGCTGGGCATTTCTGTGAAAGGGCAAGGGTTGGGAGACACATGATAAGTTCATGAGATTTCTTTCTGGTCTAACAATTTATGAAGGGAGCTGCACTTAGCTTTGAATTCAAGAAGTCAATTAACAAGTCACAGAGAAAAATGAAATGTTCTTTTTCAGACTTGCACACCTACCCCCGTGGAGCGTGAACCCTATAAGGGAGACGTTGTCCTCCTGAAATAGACACAGAAGACTCCACTGCTGGGACCAGGAAACAGACCTACCCCTCACTGTGTGCTGTTGGTAAGGGACGGTGGACAAGGAAATTATTCCAACATGACAACATCTGAAATTAGCATCTCTCTCTCCATGGCCATTTGAAGAGTTCATGGTCAAGGTCAAAGGCTTCAAAGGGACATGAGACTCAAGGACAGTTTAGCCAAAGGAAGAATGATAAAAGACCTCTTGACGCAGAACACTGAGATGAGCCTCCAGATTGAAGGAGACCTTGGGCCAGCTAGAGATTTATTCTCTGAGATGTTAGGAAGTAGTCACCAGAGCCATGGTAAAGCCAATGTGAGCAAGAAGCGGTAGCTGGTGACACAGTAGACCTGTCATTGAGGAAAGTTGGCACCACTTAAAACAGGGAGGACAATTTCATGGTCAAAGTTTATAATTTGATTTAAGACTTTATCTGGAAAGATAAATCTTCGTATTGTGAAGGCAAATATATTCTAGAACTTAAAGTGAATGAAAAATGAATCATGTGGCTTTTGGGGGTATAATTTTTCAGGAAAATTATTTGATAGTATGTGATATATTTTATTTCACATGTAATTTTTGGAATAATATTATAGATATGGTCAATTTTTGAAAAAAAAATTTTAGTGCTTCATCAATTTTCCTCTTAGTATTTTGACATCCGGAACTTTCTTTTTTAAAGTATCTTGCACATTTTCTTTCTCTCTCTCTCTCTCTTTTTAGTAGTTTTCTGGTCTTGCAAAGCCAAATATCTATTTGACAGTGGCTTTGCTGTGACTTAAGCATCTCTCTAACGTATCTTCCACTGACTTCATGAAATCTACACATTTTCTCAGTTTTGCAATTTCACTAGACTAAATTGTTAAAGCTTGTGATACATTTTCAGATGTTTCAGAACAGCGCAGTCTTCAAAACTCTTACATAAAAGGTTGACATGATGGATAGATGTTTGTGTTCATTAGGGACACTTTGTCAGGGGAGTAGTGTTGTACACCCCCGGGTAGCCTGCCCATTTGCACATGATGATAACCCATGCTTCCCTCCACAAAACCCGCGACTTGAGCAACGCGGCTTTGTGCACTCTGGGCTGTGATCGCATGACTGAGGGTCCTGAGTCTTTCTCAAAGCTATGTAGCCAAACTTTCCAGCTCTTTTTGTCATTCCCTAACTATTGAAATTATCCTGGCAATCCAGGAAGACTGGGTCAAAAATTCGGAGGAAGATTTAACAGGAGGAAGAAATTGTATTGAATGCTGTGACCTGCTTTTGCAGCACTGGCAGGGGCAGGGTTAGTGTTTACCTTTATTATCGCATTTCTGGAGGGTTAGGCCTGCGCACCGCATCTGTCTGTGAGAGGGAATGTTTTGCTGAGTTCCTTTTATTCGGTTCAAAAGCAAAGTCAGAGAAAAGGAGGCTGCTGTTCCCATCACAGTTAGCCGCTGTCGCCATGGGGAGCCAGCCTCATCTCAACTCCCCGAGAGCCTTTGGAAAGAATAATCGCTCTCGGCCTCTTTGGTTTCCTTTCAGAAGCAATCACGGTGTTTCTCACCGTGACTTAGCTGCCAGGTAAGATGGAAGACATAAATGAATGTTATTGTGACGGAACGTCTGTGTGAAAATTCACCGATGATACTTCAAAACGTCATCTTGGCTTGTACCAGATTTCTTACTGTGAATTTCTAAAGATCACTTTTTTGTTTGTTTGTTTAAAGTTTTTTTCCAATGGAGGCATTTGTTTTAAAATAGCAAACTGCGATCTTACATTCTGTTGTCATTAATAAACATTTAGATCTTCATTGTATCTCCTGTGGTCTGCGGTATGTGTGTCCTTTTCTAACAAGTGGCATGGGGACTCTGGGAGGTTGGTTTTTGATTCAAAAGCATCATTTCCTGTGTGACATTTGCTTCAGCAACTCCTGGAAATTAGGTCCCTCAGCAAACACCATGTAATCAAACTGGATACTCAACCTTAGGATAACCCCGAGGTAAACGATCCAGTCACACCGACGAAGGCAGGATCTGAGAGAATTTGGTGGAATCAAAATGGCCTGGAAGATGCCCTGTCTCCCCTCTGCTGCCTGGTCTGCACTGGGACCACCCTTCTGTGTGTGCAGAGAAGCTGAGCTATATTTTTCCTCCTAGGACCTAGGTGAACTGGTCAAGAGGGATTACTTATTTATTTTTATTTTCAAAAAAATATATTTCTGTTGATTTCAAAGAGGAAGGGAAATGGAGAGACATCAGTGATGAGAGAGAATCAGTAATCAGCTGCCTCTTGCACACCCCACACTGGGGATTAAGCCTACATTCCAGGCATGCGTCCTGACCCGGAATTGACCTGTGACCTCCTGGTTCGTAGGTTGATGCTCAACCACTGAGCCACACTGGCCAAGCAAGAGGAATTTTTTAAAAATGTGGATCAGGGGAAAACTCGGGGCAATTATGCTCTCATTGCAGGCCCACCAGCATTGAGATCAGGGTGCACTGGCACATTGGACAAAGGGGACTAGGAATAGGGTAGTAGGAATCCAGCTGCTCGGCTGTAATTTGTATTGAACACATGGGAGAAAGGACAGTGAACTCCACCTAAGGGAGAGCCATGGCTCTTTTTTTCTCGGGGACGAAATACCTTAAAATGCTTGATTCCTTTTCTCTCTGCTTCGGTTGACAATAGAAACTCTGCAAGAAGATGACTGAATCCTCAAGAAAAAAATAATTAAATTGCTTTCTTATTTAGAAGTCACTTCTCACTCATCCTTTAGTACTCAGCTGAAATATCACCCCCTCTCCGAGGCTTCCCCCGCTCCAACAGGACGGGGTACATCCCACTTTTGTGTTCCTCCATAGCAGGGCCCACCCACCCCCCATCACAGCACCATCATCCCATTGCATAACTGACCTGCCTTACTGTCTGTCTCCTCCGGGGAACTGACAGCTCATGCAGGGCAAGGCTTGTCTGGTTCACAATTATTTCCCCAGCAGGTAGCCAAGGGTCTGGCAATTGATTGGCATTCAATAGATACTTCATTTTTAAATAGAGGAGGGGGTGGAGGAGTTCCTACTGAGCTCCTATATTGGTATAGATGATATTAGTAAGCATTCTCGACAAAATGGATACAAATGTTGTGGAGCATTTTGGTGTAAGGAAGCTCTAAATCAGTGGTTCTCAACCTTCTGGCCCTTTAAATACAGTTCCTCATGTTGTGACCCAACCATAACATTGTTTTCGTTGCTACTTCATAACTGTAATGTTGCTACTGTTATGAATCATAATGTAAATATCTGATGTGCAGGATGGTCTTAGGCGACCCCTATGAAAGGGTTGTTCGACCGCCAAAGGGGTTGCGACCCACAGGTTGAGAACCACTGCTCTAAATGAAGAATACAGATTCATTATCAATGTGATAGATCTATTTGGGAGGATGAAGTAGCTATAGGATTCTGCACTAACAGAGTCATCTGAAATGATTATGCGGATCCCTTTAGTGCTATTATTAGGCTTTGTCACAAATATTTTGCAGAAACGTAGCCTAAGTAATAATATATGGCAATAGGAGAGCATGATTTAAGCTATTAATATCTTTTTCAGGATCGCCTCTGATATACGGAGTAAAATCTCTGTGTCACAGCACAGCTGCACTTTCCAGGCCTGGACCAAGGATAGATGGACTGAGTGGCGTTCCCTCTCCACGGTTGCCTTCCATGGCCTCCCTCCTCTCATGTACTGGAGAAAAGAAAGTGGGGGAATCTAAACTTCTATTCATTAGCTGTGAGGCCTTGAGTAATTTTTTTAAAAAAATATTTTTTATGGATTTCAGAGAGGATGGGAGAGGGGGAAAGAGATAGAAACATCATTGATTCAGAGAGAATCATCCATCATGCCCTCTCCTGGGGATGGAGCCCACAATGCAGGCATGTGCCCTCCCGCCATCAGGGAAATGAACTTGAAGCAGTGTCAAGGCCATTCCTGGGCTTTCTCACACCCGCCAGCTCCTCTTGCCATCGGGCTCCCCGCATGATCTAGAGGGGGGTTGACTCCATCAACCCAGTGTCAGTTCCAGCTCTGCACCATTTGCTTGTGTGGCTCCTGCAAGTCACAGTCTGCTCTACGCCTCGTGTCTGTGAGGTGTGGCTGGCTCTGTAGGCAAGTGCACAAGGGCAGGGACTCTGGAATCAAATTGACTGGGTTCAAAACTTGCTTCTGTCACCACCTGTGCAATATAGGCAAAATTCTTAAAGTCTCCCAGCCTCTAGTGTCCCACCTGTAAAATGGGAGAATAAAAACACTTACTTAGAGTTTTGGGGAGAATGAAATGGAATAAGACGTAAGCATTTAACACTGTGCTGAGTGCAAAATTAGCCCTCAATCATCTACCGGTATTTCTTTGCACTTGACCTCTTTATTGCTCTACGCTGAGGCAGAATGAAGCCAGCTAACGCCTTCTGAGGAACTTTTCGTCTCCTCTGGGTCACACTTCATGGCCATTGTTGCTCAATAGTACAATTACAAAACCGCTCGCCCGACTGGCATGGCTCAGTGCTTGAGCGTTGACCTATGACTCAGAAGGTCATGGTTCAATTCCTGGTTAGGGCATGTGCCCAGGTTGCAGGCTTGATCTCTAGTGTGGGGCATGCAGGAGGCAGCCTATCAATGATTTTTGTTTATTATTGATATTTCTATCTCCCTCTCTGTCTCCCTTCCTCTCTGAAGTCAATATGTTACAGAAAACCGGAGAAGAACCAAGCGACGCTTAGAGAGATGGAGTTACATTTATTATTATTACACGCACGGGCCCAGAGGAAAATGTCTCTCAAATTCTGGGCCCCGTCACACAGTAAGTTTCTTGTATTTATACCTCTTTACCTTCTTTGTCTCCCAAATATGGTTTTTTTCCTGTTCCCTTTGCAAGTTCTTAAAGGGCCCTATGTGCTGGGGCTTTGAGTCCTCGACCAAAGGCTTGGCCTGGTGCCAGCGCTGATAACTTCGTCTGGGGAAGATTTAATGGCCTCTCTGATATGGGAGTAGTTTTATTTTCCTTATTATTGAAGCCAGCAAGCATTTACAGAAGCCAGCAATAGCAGGGTTAAAATTTCAAATAGCAGCTTTTATATAAGATGGATGCTTCAAATAAAATATATCTAAAAAAACAAAAACCAACAAACCACAAAAATCAACCTCAGTAGGAAGGCGCTCAGGCAGGTGTTTTATTCAAGCAGGGAAAACGAGGAACAGGAATAGGGAAGATATCAAGACCACACTCAACAGTGACAGGAAGGGCAGAGGCCTGTGGGCCTGTGGTCCAAAGCTCTGCTCTTCAACCTGAGCTATTAGTCAGGAGAGAATGCATCCAGCCCTCTAACTGCAGAAAGCTTCCGTGTCTTTGGTGATGTGTGCCGGGCCCTGAGCTAGATGTGGAGGGGGGTTGATATGGAGGAATCTGGCCATGGAGGGCCCGCTCAAAGGCCCTAGGACTAGACCGACGAGGAAACCAGGGGGTCCAGGGCAGTGTGGCGAGGACTGTGGCAGGGGCTGGGTGCTTTGGAGCAGAGAGGGAGGATGTCAGTCAAAGGCCCTCCTGAATCCCCTCCCTCTTCTGGGTCTTCTTCGCCCACCTCTCTTCCTCTGCCCTCCCTCCTGCAGTTTCCTCCAGCTCGACAACTCTTGCGTCATGTTGCAGTTTTACTCAGACCCACACCCAGGAAAAACACTCGCATTTGTCACAGTGGTTATTTTGCACACGCTGGGGTCGTCTTCTCCATAGCATCTCCTCATTGCCAAGACCCACATCTTTTCCTTTCTTTTTTATCCCTCGTCGCAACCTTGATGGACACATTGACCACTGTTCCCAAGTGTCCAACACAGTACCGGGCACGTAGTAGGAGGTGAGAAAAAGCTTGTTGGATAAACACATGTCAACAATGAAGCA